CTGAAAGCACTGGATGGCCGTTTAGTCCTAGTATGGGTCTCCTTATCAGCGTGCATCCACAGTTCCGCACATGGGATTCGAACCCAAATCCGGAAGCTTAGCCTTTAAACCAATGAGTCGGGACCCAACGATGTTAATGTCTAACTTCAACCAATCCAGGGAATCGCGCGATCATCTTCCATTATTTGAGGTAGATATCTGTCTCTACCCGACACAGATTAGCTCCACTGGTCACGGCTTCTTATGAGAACTCTGAGAATTACCTATCGAAGCTAGTCACTAGTGAGTATATGGTAATTATCAATATGGGCTTGTGGAAATTGCTGAGTTTTTGCCATTTGTTATATATCTCAAATACATGTAATGATATTAAATTAGTTATCAGTTTTGCATACTGGCACTTCCCAAACTTTATTAAATTGTGCAAATTGACATAAAACCATTACAGATATAATGTCTGATGAATTTGTTCCACTTACGGAACACTAAATGGTGTTTTACCTTCGAACAAATGAGCGGATTTTTTTGTGTTTTTTCTAATAAAATAATTCGTGAAGTGTATAGAAAACTAAACAGAGTTATAACATTTTAAGGACTAGTTAAAAAGTAAACCGACTAATTGTTTAGACTTCATTCTAAACTTTTCATACACCTAGTTCCCTTTATCATCTTGAAAAGAGCAAGAATAAAGATTTTAGTAGAATAGCCTGAATTTGTTCTATTTTATTTGGTCCTCATCAAGTGCTCATAACCTGTTATATTTAAAAATTATAACTACAAAATAGATTTAAATTAGTTTCATGAAAGAGTTTAATTGGAAATAGCTTTGAAGTCACCGAATAGCATAACATGGGTGTAAACAAATTTGGTAAACTTGATAAAATATTATAAACATATACTTTATGAAAAGAACATTCTACATCATTGATTGTAACTAATATCTAAAGGGTTAAAAGCAAATGGTTACGTAGTGAGTAAACGGAGATAATAAGTCATAATAATGTAATTAATTCAAAGATAGAGTTGAACAAAATTCTATGATGCAATGATGTAATATTTGTCACCAAGGTAAGTAAAGATTAACAACCATCTCGTTTCGAATAAATAAATCAGGTTTCTGACGCCAGATTGCAATGGCCTCCGCAAACTTCAGAAGACTGGAGCTTGGCTATTTATCAATAACCTTAGAAGATTGCAAGGTGTTGACTTAATGTCCTATAACTAAAAGACGTTTATTAATTGGGCTGTTTAAAGTAGTTCTTTCTCTGGTTCTAAGACTTTTCGGAACATACTCGAAAATCGAAGACTCAAAGAGAGTTAACATTCGCTCTGTAACAGATGTTTTATACTAATGAGCGTCACAGTGTTAAACGCCGGTCACATACGCCATTTACTATTCAAGCATCCGTTATATGACAATTCAATATGTCATATATATTAATAAAAAAATAATGAGATACTAACATAAGAACGAATAATTTTATTGAACAAATCCTACCATTTTGAGTAAAACATTTCCCTGTTTGTAATGGGTATACAAATCGTTTAATTTGAAACCATAGTTAACAATATATCATAAACTAGAATGATCGCAGAAAGATTAGCTCCATTTGGCACAGCTGCATTCAGTGTACTGCTCGATTTGTTTACTGCTTCTTCGTGGGCGGTTGCTGCGACAATTTCATGAACATTTAACAGGGCATCGTCTTATTGTGAGCTGGATAAGTCACTATTTGCAAATGCTGTTTCGGGGTATAATGGGGTTTGAATCCATTACCGGGCATGTTTCTGAAATAGACAGTACTAGACCACTGGGAGGATCTTGAATAACTGCTGTTTCGTTTAAATTACGGTTTGTCAATGATTCATCGAGGCTGCAATCATTTTCCAGCTCTCTGCGCAATTGAGAACTTTATCCATTCACCTTCGTCGCATCTCCAAAGCATGGGTGATTAAGCAGCCGTGTGCGTAATTTGACTAAGAACTCCAACTGTCGCTCAAATAGGAACTGTAATCAACCGGAAGGGAGAGTCATTTTCTGAATCAGCACAGTAATGAAAATTACTGTATGACTAGTCATTAATGAGGAAGAATGTATTTACAAAATCTCAGCAAAAGAATTTGAAGTACATCCAACATTTCGTTTGGCAATCTGATCCAAACGTTTTCAAGGAAATGATTATATTTTAAAATCATATCTAGTAACAAAAAGCAAGACACATGTTTCATCCTATTTGGAAACTCACCAATTCGATTCATTTGTACTTGAGTGTTATTTTTTATGATGATACTTAAACCTAATGAGTATTATCCACCAAACTATTGAATCCATATAACTATCTACATACTTCCCTGGAATATAAGGATCATGAAAAGTCATGATAAGTAGCTAAAATTTTAGAAAAAAATTTTTACTCTTTCATTAATTAACATTTTCAAAAGTTTTTCCTCGCCTTATTTTTAACTGTTTTTATTATTATTATTATCTTTGGTTTGAAAATCTTTTATTACCAACTGTTCAGTTATGTTGTTTTCAATAGATACAACATAAATGTGACATTTTTCATGAAAAAGTAATGTTTGATGACTATTTAGTGTGTTATCTCCCCTCACCCCGCATCTAATTACTAGGTACATTTATCTACTAAATAAGAATGGAAAACTTAAACTATTGTGATTTTTTTTTCCTTTCTTTTAAAAGTTTTTTTTACGAAAAAAAACAAAAAAAAAAACAAAACATCATCTTTGTCATGAGCATCATTGTCAATTTCATCATGGTATATGTCATTATTATCTATTTAAGTTAACTAAATAATTGAATATTGATCTACAGAATGTAGTTAAACAAACCAACAACAACAAAATGTCGCCAAACAATAAAAACTGACTAATGTACTTCATTATGTTATACAAATTTGTTCTGTTTGTTTTTTTGTTTTTTTTTAAAAAAAGGTATAAGTAAATTAATGAAAAAAAGATTTGAAGGTAATTTAGCCACGTTTTCAGTTTGATTATTGAAAGGAGCGAAATAAATTTTAAAAAGAAAGAAAAAAAGGAAGTGAAATGACTTGAATGTGTTTTTATTTTGTTGTTTTGTTTAAAATTTATTAAGTGACAATCATAGACATATATACAAACACATAATTCAATGTGCACTAAATGAACTTTGAGTGGTGACAACAAATGGATCAAAAGATATATTAAGTTACATATTCAATAACATCAAAACAATAACTACAGCAGCAGCAACGACAACCATAACCACAACGACAACAACAACAACAACAACAACAACTGATGCTTATTCCTCAAAACATTTTTTTTTGTTGTTGCAGGAATTAAGACTAATATCTATTTATGTGTATTTGACTACAATAATTGATAATGTTAAATTTTAGATTTAATAAATATATCATTAATGACAGATTTTGAACATATATATATATTATTCAGTATAAAACCGTATATTGTCACTATGATGTCCAAAAAATATAGTCTAACCAAAAAGAAATTGTAATATTCACTAAAATACATGTAGATATTAGACATAATGATTGTTACGTTTAAAGAAAAAATGATATCTTGGTCTTTATTTTCAGTGTTAACATTTTTAGTTTACAAAATGAGAAATATGAACTACCCAATGATTTTACTACTTCTCAAAAGATGTATTTTTTCTTTGTGTTAAAACACTTGGATCATTAAGTTATAAATCCAGGTTTTGTGGTTGTTATCATGTGGGAAGGCATCAATTTTAATCAGATATGGGCTAATTGATGTTGAGTATAAAAAAGAAATGACTATTAACCAATGGGTGGTTTTAGTTGTTCTTTAAATGTTCACATCATTACTGTTAAGAGTTAAGATTATTCAGTTGTTGATAAACATGACTAAATTTTGACCGGTTTTCGGTCATTTGCTGACTGCGTTGATATAGCCTTTTTATCATGTTTTTTTATAGAATGGATTGATCATTCTTAGCAGTGACATTCAGAAAGCACAATTTGTTCTGTTAAAAAGCTACCAAATAGTATTCTAGACTGATTATATTTTTGAATAGTGTCTTGGAGTGGTAATTAGCATACATTTTTCGTTTAGTTTCGGGGCTCTCAAGCTGAGCTCAGGTGTATTTCAGTGTTGTTGTTCAAGTTGATATTTTAACCCAGTGAATAATATCCATTAACTTTACTTATTCCTAATAGATTACAGTACTAATGTTAACAACAACAACAACAACGCTTAGATGCATGTGCATCCAACTGACAGGTCACATGTAAAACAAAACCTTCGTGTCAGAGTCAACTGCTAACCACAGTGCATCTAATCTATACAATTTCATCAAAACTATTTCAGTATTTTAAGATAAATGCAACCAACTTGGATACATCTTCATAACTTATTTATCCCTTATTATTTAGTTGATTAGATTAATAATAATAAGGCTTAAATAATGAATACTTGATGAGGTTTAAAGAAAATGGAAACATTAAGAATTAGATCCTTTCATAATAATCAAATAGATAATTTTTATTCAAAATTGGAAATGAGAATTTTAACTTTAATTAATTCACTAAATTACAGAAATTTATGGAAATTTCGCTTGTAATTTTAGAAATTTTAAAAATTTAACCAGCTGCTATATTTTAGTCAGAATGGGGATTTGTGGAGATTGTAGTAATTTTAATAGTTGACTTCATAAATCGATCTAAGTTATACCACTATCGAAAATCTACAATCACTGGATAACCGTTACATCCTAGTATGGGACTCCTCAGCAATGCTCGTCCACGAAGAGTTGCTCAGGATCATGAATCGATTGAAGTTAGACCTTAACACCACTGGATTCCGCCTTAACAATCTACATTCTCTGTAATATATATTTTTGTATCTTCTCTATGTAGGATATTTATTAATCAATCATCAAATGGATTTATTTGATCAAAAAGTGCTATCTTATAATGATGGATAGAATAAATGTGCTTCTCTCATTAATTTTGACTTCATCTTTAAGTCTTTCAAGAGCACAGAATTTCTCGATTTTCTATGTCCAGTTTTTACAGTTATAACAACATTCTAACATTACTTACCGATTAACTTTGTTCACATAATCAATTAACTCCTTTTAATCAATTAGATTAGATTTTTTTTTTCTCATGAATTTATTTCTTTATTTGAAAATATGTCTACTTGTAAATTCTTTTCAGGCATTAGGTTTTATGGAAGGTCAAAATCATCAATGTATTCTATGTAAATGTAATAGTTTTACACCATGTACAACTAGTCTTAGATATTGTTCTAAATGTAACCATTCATGGACATTTCATGGTAAGTTGAAATGACAAGTTTTTTAGATTGTTTTTTGATTATACAGGTCAACCTACTGTGGTTTAATTTGAATGAGTCTTAACCACTCATCAAAAAACTAGTCATGATGATAGAATTTGAAAGCTTCCAGTTCAAAGCAATTAACTGTGAAGTACTTGAGAAGAGGTTAGGCACAGATAACATATAATAACGTTGAATGATAATAAATGCATAAAGCGGTCAAGTGTTTGCAAAAGATATCAGAGGTCCTGGGTTTGATTCCTGATGGGAGGGTATGGATACTGACTACCAAGACGTCATTTACTAGGAAAAAAACAGATTTCTAGTGTTTCCCAACTTTAAACAGTCCTTGAACTAAGGTCAATTGATGATGTTAACTATGAAAAATTACAATGTTACGAAATTATTGGAGATTGTGTTTTTTCCTTACAAAAAGGAATAAGTTTACTTACTGTTAATAAATCTTAAGATAGAATGTTTATATTAGAGGTTGTGGCCTGAGTTCCCTGTTAATGGATAATGTAATAATACCATCAATCAGAGAGCAGTGAATTATCAATCGGACCAAGGACGCGTAAAACACGTGCGAGTAGCTTAGAGTCCTGATTGGTCCTGCTTCCGCCTAGCCCAACCAGTAAAGTCCAGAACGCCAATCCCAGCCCCTGCAATATGAATCATGTATTTCAAAAAAAATGCTCGGTTTATATATCAATCAAACAGATCACAACGTACCATTAAATAGGAAATAACATTTGTACAAAATTTGGCCAAATGTGGCTGTAAATATGGGTGGCAGTGACTAATAGACAGGGCATAATTCAAGAATGGTAAAACGTATAATAATGGTTCATAGGTCAAAATAAAGCTTATAATAAGAGGAATATGAATATGAATAGTTTAGTTATTTAACAATCATACGATAAAAATATATGTTTATTATTGGTCCATAAATGGATTCCAAAGTTACCGATCATTATGCTTATCAGGACCTAACAGTTTAGAGTGCCGTTTTAGGACAGTAAATCTACGACACACACACACACACGAACAGCTTGATGAAATCATCGTTGTCAATGCTTATGATAAAATATCAAACCTTTAAGACATTTATTTCCAAGAATCTATCAATACAATTAAGTAATTATACTCAATGTTTATTATTTCATTCTATTACTCTTATCTAATTCCATTTTGGATACATAGAAAATACTAGTCATAATGTTTGTCAATCAATCAGTTATTTATTATGAATTGAATAATTTAATAGCTGACCTGATACCCTGGTAGAAAACATATGAACACAAATACAAATTTTATGCAATCAAGCATATAACAGTAAACTATAAATACAGTTGACTTAAACGCTGAATATTTTTGAAATCCTATTACCATCTCTCAATGTGTATCTGTGATTATGAAGTTGCATAAGATTACAGTTAATTTATGATATAAGAAGAGGTTGTACCGGTCGTTTTGGCACACACAATTCTGGTTTTTCCAGATGTATGGCTAATGCTTCGGCAATGTAAAATGCAGTGTAATTATTTTTAGGAGACTTCTACTTACCTTGTAAATGACTTTGAACTCACAGTTTGTCTTGATTGAGTGACCTGTGTTCACAAGATGTTCAATTACTGAGCTTCTTATTGAGCCGCTATGATATGATGGTACACTTATTTAAAAACACTGGAAATGATAGTTATACATTTAATAGTGATTCGATTATTTTTATCCATAGTAAGCTATACCAAGCTCCTAGTCTTTTAAGTTAGCACTCCGATTGGTTAATTAACCTGTTTGACTTAAAACATAAGTTTAATATTCAATATAATTTGTGTAATCATTTGAGTTTTTTCTTTTGTTAATACTAATGAATATATTTGAATAATTCTCATATGGCAAGTTCAGAACAGGATGAAATTGTAGTCATGATTTTCAGTTCTAAGGACCATTCATTTTTGTTACAACTTGTAAACAAAAGGAATATAGAGACAAGCCTCTCATTATTCATATATTTCGACAGTGTCCTCAATATAGTCAACAACAACAACAAAACCATTCATACCTGGTGAACAAGTTATCATTTATCTGAATTCATTATCTCAGTAGATAGAGTATCGATGTTTGAATCAAATGATATTAAGTTCGAGTTTCAGTGTGATCATCAATACTGGATATAGGTATATCTATCTGACAAGTAACAAATAGGATAAAATGCAAAACGTCTACTTGTTATTATTCACTTTTTTTTATTATTTTGTAACAGCAATAGAAAACTTTGTAATTTATATCAATCATTTCAATGAGCAATTCATATCAGCATCATCAAATAGCCTATTATATATTTTTATAATTTTGTACCAATTAACGAATTTAATTCTTTATGGTTGTCAATTCATTCCAATTCGAATGAAGTTTTTATTGGATCATTTCAGTAAGATTTATTTAACAAAATATCAATTTGAAGAAATTTTAAAAATATTTGGTTGGTCTTTAATAGACTATACACGTGGTTACATGATAAATGTAAGTTACTGTTTAATATATATATTAGTGATTTTGGTCTCAGATACAATATCACTGTCTTTATAGTACATAGCCTTTTCGTAGATACTTTAGGAATTTTATGTAAACATGATTCATAGATCAGCATACAATCAAGAAAAGAATAAATGAATTTATTAAGATTTCATGTCATTTTAAGGTTACATTCATCACAACTGGTTTGGTAATGATTTCTCTAACTATTTTAGTGCCTTATCATCTAGATATTTGTTTGAAAGAACAAATGAATAAGTCATGAATATAAATGTTGTATATTGTACCTAGGCTAAGCCCGTTCGATAGATGGCAGTAACAACAAACTAAATACGCCTAAAGTTGCATGAATTTATTTCAATCATTCATTTATTCAAAAAGACATTGAGATAAGAAGTGATGGAGTGAAGCGGAGAAGGAAAGCGTCTCAACTCTATTTGATAAAATGTGGCTAACTATTTATGAATTGAGAAAAATAAACTAATTACATAGAGTAACCGATACACATACACTCTTAAATAAGATGTAGTTAAGGTTATAAGGGGATCATTGACAAGGTCAAAATATATATGGATAATGTATCTGTAAGAATAAATTAATTGAACTATCCAAAAGCCAGAATAACCATGAAAGCATAACATTATGCTAAATACTATACTACTATCGAAATACTTAAATGTATTCATTTATTGACTGTTAACAGTAAAGAAAACATTGTTTATTATTATGAATACATATTAGTTAACTTTAGAAATTAGTTACACGTAATCATTCATTAGGTATCATTATCAAGGTTTGATTTGATCATTTCGAATAAATTGAACATCGGGTAGATTGTTATAAATAAATTAATATATTTGAAATATTCCAATGAGTAGAGTAATTAGACGTCCTGACGTTTTGTGACTTAATGTAAGCCACTTCTTCAAAGAATACATTACCATTGATGTTTAGGACTGTAATTGATCAGTCTGATAATGAAGAAGTGGTTTACACTAAGTCACGAAACGTCAGAAAATCTAATTTTTCTACTCATTGGGATATTACAAATATATTGATTTATTTGAAATCATTAATTATTTACTTATCTGTTATTGTTGTTGTTTTGTTTTTCTACAGAATTGTAAACAATCAATATTGAATATGTGTACACCTGATGAAGAGTATATAATTTTAAAAGAAATTAAAAATTTACCAAATTTGAAATTATTAGCTGACAATTTATTAAAAACTATTCAACTTGATCTTATTCAAGAGACAGATATAACAAATATGAATATTATACAAAATAATGATTTATGCAAAGTTCCATTGGCTTCTGTGTCATTCTTGAATAATAATAATAATAATAATAATAATAATAATAATAATAATAATAATGGTCATGATAAGTTTTCATCGATAGTCAGTTCAATTCCTGGTGAGAATGTTCGCTCAGTTGGTCAGATTCCTGATGATGATGATAATGATCAGACTAACTTTCTACAACATAATCAATTTAAAGGACAAGAAATATTGAATATGAAAAATGAAATATTCAGTGTAAATCCCGATCTTTTACTGAATTGGATTAGTAAATTTCCATTGAATATGTTAAGCTATCAAAATCAAACTGAAAGATTAATTAATCAAATGAAAAATCTTAAGAATATTATTCCTACTTATTGGACAGATAGTCTTGGCAAAGAAGGTAATTTAAGATTTTTAATTTTATTTTTGGGAAAAACTTTTTATTTTGATAGAGAAGGAAACTTTCAGTAACCTTTTATCGATTGTCTTCAGTGCAAAAAACGTTTATTTATACGAATCTATGATAGTTTAATGTAATCAAAAGGAAATTCGGATTTTAGGTTTCTTGCAACCGAACACTCATCAGTAAAGAGTAACTGAAAGATATGTTAAATTGTTTAATTGTGTGATGTGTGTTCAAATCTCACAGAGTGGATAGGTTTCCTCAAAATTCCAGGTACATCTTAACGAGTGTTTATATTTTCTTATTGACTATGTTCAACTATTTAATATCAAGACGAAGTGTACATGATGTTGAATTGCTTTGAATGATGGTCATATTATAATTTGTTCTATAGAATCTGATCAAAATTAGGGGCAAGATAAATGTATTATTGGTTAATACTGCGTAACCAGTTAATATACACAACTAAATCCTATATTTATTTCATACTTTTTTATATGGTATTGGTTAATTTAAACCTTTCCGTGAATATTAAACTTAGCTATGTGAATTAGTCATTACAACCTTATTTATATTGGATAATGGTCTATATATTTCAAAACTGACTTAGTATGCTAGGTATAGCATTGCTTTAAACATTAGTACCATAATGAAGTGACTAGTCTTTATTGATCTTCAGAGTAGTTTATTCCTTGTTGGCTGTTTGTTTCTTATTTTAAAATTTTCTGACATTTTTCTCCATATAAACATGTTCTATAAATTTTATTATTCGACTAAGCGCTCTCATTAGATACTGAACTCACAAATTTAGACTTAATGAGGTACTCAAAAGTGTGATGGACCAAATGAAATTAAACGACAAAAAAGAAAATCAAAAATGGAATATTAGTACACGCTGAAGTAGTTTTAGAATTTGATGATCCATGATTTGACTCCAGTTAGATGGTATGATTGATTGCTGTCGAAATATACATCCTGACTATTCTCGTATATAATCATCGACTTAAATCGCGTTGATGAATAACGGAATTAAATAAGTTATATACGAGAATGGATTTCGAATACGTATATTTTGTGCACTCGTTGATTGGAACAGACAATCGGAGAATCGCAGCAAATGAAACGATGCGAAACGAAAGGACGTGCAGTGAAAAAGACGTGTGAGTCAACTCCATTTAGTTAAGCGTCAATCAATATTTATAGTCACACAAAAATAAGCTACAGACATGTGATGAGAGTAGGATAAGATGTACACACACATACGCTCATATGAAAACAGTCAGGATTGATAAGTGAATAATTAACAAGTTCATAACATGACCCAAGAATAATGGATAAATTGGCCTGTTCAGAATCTAGAATAAGGTATATGGGCTTAACATAGTAACCAACACTACAATGAGTTAATTACGTGACAATGGTTCAAAGTTGTTAATTATTAAAATGTTTCAGGTTATCAAAAATTTCATCATTTCAAATTTATCATTTCTGAATACTACAATTTTGGCCATATATTTAATAGATCATAGTAAACTGATTTAACTAGAAAGAAGTACCAATAGAGTTATTGGTGAACTTGGAGAATGTTAATGAGAATGAGAAATTAGTCTAGAAGGATAACGTATCTGAGCAATGATCAATCAAAGCATTATATTCTCATTGTAAAAGTGATATAACAGTTTTAAACAAAATATTTTACAATCAATAATGAAAGATTTATACAGTGGACAATATTTTAAAGATTACAACATTAGCATATTCTTTATTAACACATTAAGTTTCTTTCTAAATAATCTCCACAATGATGTTTAACAAGGAATCTGTTCCGAAGTAACATGACAAACTTATGGAGTGTTCTTTGATTTCTTATAGTTTACGAGTTGTTGTCAATGGACCTTTAAAATTATCATCGAGTTTATTAACATAATTTTTTTGTAATTCAGGAAAGTTCTGCAGATAAATGTGTTGTGACTTTAAGTCCGGCTAGTTATCACATGATTTATTCATCAATCGAAATACGATTTATTCACTCTTGTACTGTACTAAACCAATGACATTCGTCCATCCTGATCAGCCTAGCGTCCTTATTGGTCCTGTGTTCGCCTAGCCCGTTCAGTTGAGTCCAGAACACCAATAACAGCTTCCGTTATGCGAATCATTTATTTCAGACATACTTGGTTTATATACCAAAGGAACGGACCTCATCGCACCACAAAATAGGAAATAACATTTATACACAATAAAGCCAAAAATGGCTGCGAACGTGGGAGACAGTAATTAATAAACTGAGTATGATTTAAGAACAGTAAATCGTATAATAATAAATTATAAGTCAAAATGAAGCTTATAATAAGAGGAATATAAATATACACAATCTAGTTACTGAACAGTTACACGATAGGAATATATATATATATATATATATATATATATATATATATATAATATTAGTCCATTAATAGATCTCAGAGGTTACTTGTAATTTAGTCTTCACTAACATCTAACAAAATGTAAGACCCTTCACATATTACTTGTGTTATGTAATTAGCATTTTATTGAAAGACATAATAAGAATGATAAAGAGAATATTATCCAATGAAGTTATTTTACAAATTTAAACTTCTGAAATGATTCAATTCCAAAGTAAATAAACAGGGTGTTGAATATATCGAAGCCTCTAAATCACATAATTGAAATACACACGAAAACGAAGTTCACAAAACAGCGATTTATCTAAAAAGCGGTTCTTTATTGAATAATATACATAAATTAGTTACAAACCTCAACTTGTGAAGTATCTGTGGCATTTAGTACGTCTGTAAGTCTGAAATAAATAGGGCATTCTGCGATAGTAACATAAGGTATAATAACAAAATATGATAATGCAAATGACAGCTGATAGCTGTATGTAAACTTGTTAACAGTTTATCAACAAGCAAAAACGCGACCATGAGCAAACAATATTAAAAACAGTGCGTTTAAACAATGCTTAAATGACGATAAAAAATCTGATAACAACTGCTACAGGGGTTAAAATAGATTAATTATTATGATAAATATAATAAGCGTTATAAGTATTTGTAAGAATATTGCACGACAAAATTGTTAGGTATACAACTTACTTACTTACGTCTGTTACTCCCAATGGAGCATAAGCCGCCGAACAGCATTCTCCAACCCACTCTGTCCTGGGCCTTCTTTTCTAGTTCCATCCAGTTCTTGTTCATTTTTCTCATGTTTATCTCCTAGGTATACAACTATTTACTGAATATTAATAAGTAGCATAAAACAATACACAAAGAGTCGAAGGGAATAGAATAAGAATAGAGAACGTAAACCGACTTAACACAAGGTAATAAAATTTCGTTTGGTTATTTGTGTCTTTTTTTCCTGCTTGATTCAAGAATTCATATTACATTTGATTGAATCATCATTAGTATTCTGATTAGCTTTATTAAGATATCTATGACGAATCTGGCAGAATAGATCTTCAAAGCAATTAGTCCCTTTGATAAGTTTCGATAATGTAATAAGAAGACGAAGATTATCAGAATTATGTGATATATTAGCACAATACATTTCTAACAATCTGATCACATATATACTTGTTAAGAACATTTATATATAAAAATAAAAGATCAACTATAAATGCTTTTAACAAGTATATGTGTGATCAGATTGTTAGAAATGTATTGTGCTAATATATCACATAATTCTGATAATCTTCGTCTTCTTATTACATTATCGAAAGAATATATCTTGCTTTTGATTGACATCATGAATCGATTGATTTTAGACCACCGTTGGAAACCTGGAAGCACTGGACGATCGTTTCGTCCTATTTTGGAACTCCTCAGAAGAATATTCCATTACATATGCTCATATTCATTTAATCTTACTGGGTAAATGATCTACACTATTGATTTTAATGAATAAACTTCTATATTTTATGTTCATTAATGACTTTTATTTAAAATTATTAGCTAGACATATTTATTCAAATCAACCTCAACAATCTGATAATGTTTCAACTGAAGAAAGTATACAGAATATACAAGTAATAACTACTGAATATGCTTATGATCATTATTCTTTGAAATATCCATGTATTCCAATTACAATAAATCAGACTTTAATAAAGAGTAAGAAATTCGAACAAAGAAATAAGAAGCGTGTTATGTGTCCAAATTGTAGGAAGACATTCTGTGATAAAGGTAAATTGAATTGTTGCTTTTCTTCGGTTGTATAATTGATTTATTGATTAACAATGGTAAATGACTTTAGTTTAGACAAATATAGATAACTGAAAAGTATTGGATTGTTGTTTTGTCCTAATATAAGACCTTTCAGCAGTAATTATCGTGATCTCATCAAGAACTGAACCCAAGAACTTTAGACCAATTGGTTGATATCCAATAGCTTATATTTTTAATTTTACTCTGTTAACAAAATTACACTATCCTCATCCTTTACCACTACTGATATTCGTCATACTACAGGAAACTAGTGTGTTACAATATGAATATCAATCTTGTGATCCAAGTTACTATCCGACTGAAGAGTCCGAAATCGGACGAAACATATGGAATATTTTCAGTTTATGGTTATTCAGTACCAGTGAAATCATCCTTTATCGTAAGAATTAAACCAAAATTTAACTGACAGTAACTAAAACAGAATGTAAAGCATATTTTAACAAACTATAAACATTTTTAATGGGTTATATACGCTGTCAATACATTATATATTAATATCTTTAAATGGAAGTAAAGTCTGACAGTTATGGTCTTTTATACATTAAGCTGTTTCATTATCCAAAATTACAAGCTAGTTTAAGCAATCTATGATGATAACAGCAATTTGTTCTTTGCGAATATGCTGATCAAGTGTTTATTAAACATTTGAAATCAAGGATTGTCATATGTGTAATTAATATTAATGTTGAGACGGTGATAAAATAAAAAATATTTCCAATGTCGGGATTTGTGGAGATTGTGGTATTTTAACAGATGAATTCATGAGTCATTTCTTCCTAGTATGTAACGTCTCAGGAGCGCTCATTGACAATCCCGCACACGGAATACAACCTAGGACCTTCGGTCTTATGCTCAGACGCTTGACCTCTAGTCTACTGGACTGGATCCAACGGTGTTAATGTCTAACTTCAATCGATTCGTCATCCATTGTCTGAGATGGATAACCGTCTCATACCCAACACGTATTGGACTCCATTGATCACGACTTCTCACTAGAACTTCAAGAAATCCATGTTGAAACTAGTCACCAGTGATCATAACCGGGGAAAATAGAAACTGTAGGTTGCTCACTAGTCAATCAAATAAAGACCTAAATTTTAGGCTTTGTAAATGAGAATTAAAAGGCTTCTTAAAAAAATTATCTCAAAATATCTAGTGATAGATAGATTTTTTATGAGTTTTTGAGATTTAATTCAATCTCTTGATCCAAAATTGTAATGATAATGATGAATTAGTTACTTTTGAATATACAATTGGAATGTTATGGATTAATTTAGAAATTCTATGATTATGATTTCAAAATAACCATTTAGATGACTGTTTTAGCCTTTTTAAACAAGATATAAGATATTTGTATATCAGTAGGTAAATAATCAGTATTGTTTTGATCTTAGTCAGTTAGTCAGTCAACAACGACGTAGAACTTCGTACCTATACACATCATTTCAAGTTGCTACACCATATTTGCGTTTTTTAGCGAGTTAGTTTTCTACAGTATGGGGTCGCTAACCCCATGCCCAACCCTTCTCCTTTACCCGGTCTTGGGACCGGCAGTAGCCCTAGGGACTCTAAGCGGAGTTAACCACATCAGCAAAAAAATACATTTGTCGATTTAAATCCCATAGTGATAGAAGTACTAAAAATATAAGCAGTAATCGGAAAGATTAGGGTCTAAAGATGTTATTCAAGGAGTATAATCTAGTGAAATAAATTTGTAAAGACAAAAAGAAACAACATGAAGAATTCAGAAGATTAGAATTTGGGAGCATACAAAGAGTGGATTCACCTGCACCATTACTAACGATTTCGAAACATGTCATTCAAAGTCTCTAACCATCGGTTGCTATCATCTCGCGGGTCCCAACCAAGTAGTCTACATCTTAGTTAGTAATTAGATACTGTAAAGATTAAAAATACTTGTAAAGTTTCAGCTACCTACAAATCAGCCGATAGTAATACTTACATACTGAAAAAAAAAATTGTTCATCTTTTTTAAAACTTTTTACTGTTGTTATATTTTTTCTCGTCATATTTTGATAGGAGCACTTAAAATCCATCATAGTGCAGTTCATTTGAAAGAAATGCATAAATGTACTATAAATGGATGTAATATGTGGTTTAGTTCAAGACGAAGCCGTAATCGTCATTCAGCCAATCCTAATCCACGTTTACATATATTACATATGAATAAAAATAATGAAAATCACAATAATGTTGTAAATTAAATTATGTAAGTCTTGATCTTCTTTTTTTTCCTTTTGACTTAAGAATTTCAAGTTACAGCTTGCCTTGTGAACGAGAATACAAGTGGGGTCAATCAAATGTATTTGAACACAAAATTACAGAAAATCTTACAAAAATCTGAGAACCATACAGTAAACACTTCATTTGCAAAATATCAATCAATTGTCTCATACTTGACTGTTCCTTTTACAAATATCCGTCAATCGTCTCAGATTTCATTGTTCCTACATTTTCATACGAATTGCTTTCTGTTCATGTGCTTTCCTTCTCGACTTTCTACTGCCAGACATTCTAATCCTGACTATCGTTATATACTACTCATGTCGATATAAGTGGCACACACTACATATTCACAATATGAATATAATAAAATAGTGAATTTTCTTTCTTTTTTTAATTATAATAAATATTATTATGTAATTGATAGATCGATTTGTTTACATAATTTGATCATATTAAAAGTGAATTGTAATACAGTTGATTATGCAATAACCTATAAAGGTATTAGTAAGTTTCAATCATCGTAGAGCCTAGCACAAGTGTTTATCTATTCATATTATCTGATTTTATATCAGCTTAAAGATGAAAAGTAAATTAACACGATAAGTAATAAAAGAAATCTAAGGATAAGAGATATAATTTGGAAAAAGACAAACAAATTCAAAGAATGAACTATTTGAAGTGAATGAATACTTATTGTTGGCTCTGTGACTAGTTTCTATATCGATCTTTTTTAAACCAAACTATCTTTAACTGTAAAGTGAAGTGAACCTATGGATTTGAATCAAGCAATTCACATCTATTAAATTGACTAAAATCTATGGTAGACATAATATAGCAGCTCACGTGCAACTTAGTTTGTTCTTATTTAGTTTGATTAATCTCTTTTGTTAACTTATTTAATGGTAGAGTCATCCGTTCTATAACAACTTATTGTACCCTTATTATTGTTGCGCTTGTATGAAACATGCATGCTTGAACATTGCTTACCGCCTACGCATATATTCATTTTGCTAGCTTTATTATTAACTCCATTCATATATATATATATATATATATATATATATATATATATATATATATATATATATATATATATATACATTTAACCCTATACACTATCAACTAGCTGACTCACTCATTCGCCTCTCTGCTTTGTGGTCTGAGTTATCTGCTAATAAAACTGTAGTCGTTGCTTCTCTTTGCCTTCTGATTTCAAACACCGTTGATGATTATATAATAACAGTTACGAGGATGATTGGTTAACGAAGAACAGCCACAACAAAATCATATTACATTGAATCAACTAACTTAATGAGATTGTTAAAAGATATAGAAAAATTCTAACTTGTATTCCTAATAAATTTTATTTAGTAATTTGTACTACTCTCAATGTTTATTCGTTGTGTTTAGTGAATGGATCTTCTGTTAATAATAATTAGTATGGTAACAGTGAATATATCTGATATTTGTTTAAAGAAACAAAATAAAACAGTATGATCAGTACATGAATTCTCAAAGATCGATTTCATTAAGTAAAAAGAGAAACTATTTCACTTTATTATCTTTTCTGTTTCGAGGATACAATAAACAATGAACAATTCCAACTTGGATAAATATTCATGGAATATGGTTGTCCTTTCAGGTTCATTGAAAAAGAAAACTGAGATCAAACTGTTACCTGACAGATAATCTATAGTCCAAAAGAAAACTCTCTTCATAAGCATTGATTTTAAAGGAAATATTATAACAAAGTCTTTGAGAAATCACATTGATAAATCTTTGAGAAAAACATTTTGCCCTGTTTGAGCCTTGTATTACCTTCTACAGATTAGTTAACACTCATGAATATGCCAAAGTTAGAACTCGGCTTTGGGGCAGAGCAGTGGGGATTTATAAGTTTACTTTCTCTTGTGGAGCAAGTTTCATTATTCATACAAAGCGGATAATTTCCGAACATATCTTAGGACATCACATGTGGTAGCTTTCAAAAGAAGAATGGAAAATAATTATCAGTTTAATATAGAAACATCTCATCAACCGTGCACATGTTGGCCAGTTGTATAATCGTCCTTCAAATAATCTAACGAGTCAAACGAGTGGAATCAAAGGGAGGTTAAATAAAAATACTTTTGAGTTATAGAGGCTTCGTCTATTCAACAATTCAAGCCTGAACTCTGTGTACATAACTAACTAGTAAAGTTTCTAGTTTTTTTTCTAGTTCTAACAACCCTTACAGGATGTTGTTTTGAATTTTTTTATTTTTATGCTTTACCTCATTATTCAGTAATTAATGGTTATTACCCTCACAAAACCCTTTCTAATTATTATTCACTTGTCATTATCATCCCTATAACTTTCGTTTGTTTTCCATATCCGTTCAGTGGATAATTATTTCTCCTATTTCCGACCAGTAAATTGTTTTCTTTTTTTCCTTCTTTTAACTTTAGGTTATTCCTCAAGTGTATTTCGGTACTTCGATTCGTTAAACGCTTTATGATGCTGTTTCTTTCTATAATTCTTCCACTCATAGACTTAGTAAATCACTACAATTGAACACCTCCAATAACGGATATCATCGAAATGACAATCTTCTTTTCTGAATAGACGCTTTCTTCTTCAACATTGTCAATAATGAAAATAATGGGACTGGAGTTGAATCAATGGTCTAATCGGTTGATGATTAAAAGTTTCGAACCTCAGTTTTATTTTTTTTTTTGAATGTTTTTGAATTACCAAACATATGACACAGTTCGAACCAACTTTTTATTTTTTCTTCTAACCGTACATCATGAGATTATTGCAATTCAAAATAAATAAAATAATAAAAGATATTGGAATTTCAGATTAGTTGAGTGATTTTTTCAAACCACTGTTTTAGAATAGTTCTAATATCCAGCCAGTTACAAATGTGGTAATAGTTTCATACCTTTTGCACGATACCCTCAAACTAATTAAAATGAAAATAAATACTCAACATCACTCACTACTTGTACCACATCCTTCCAAATAAGTTAAGGTAATTTAATTTCGATCAACTATTTTGCGTACTTTTAAGTAGTACAAATAGCATTTCTAAGTAAAGTCACGGAATAATAAATCGAGAGTTTTGATTTTAGTTTACAGACTATATATTATGTTTTTTATTTTGATTGCTGATTGTCAGCTGATCTGCCAGCAATGTTTTGATTTTAGCTGTTATCTTTATCAGGCAATGATCAATTAGCAGATTCAGAGTATTCTTTCGAATATTTTCTACTCCGTTTTCAGTATTAGTGAATGAATTCATTCTTAAATGTTTATTATCAGTAGAGAGGAGATATTTACTTATTTAAATGTCATTAGATATACACCGCTAACTTTGTTTTCTACATATAGATGAAAAAAATTATATTTTGGTTTTGTTCAAGCAAAAAATGATTGAAAATATATGGAGCATGAATACAAAATAACAAATCTCTTAAATAATCACTAATGGAAGTATCTAACAATTACTAACAATTATTCCCGACAAATTGATATCAGGCTGTAGTTTTGTACCAATGTTGTATTACACTTTTTGATATGGAAATCAGTTTGTTTCTGAAAACTTATTACTGAGGTTAAGAATTATAAACTGACTGGTTTAAACACATTTTAGTTGATTTAAACTTTCATTCAACCGACTTGTAAATAACCACGTGGAAACTTGAACCTTCAAAAGCTAACTTAGTGATCTTAAGGTAATGCTTTAACCATGTAGCTTGTTTATTTTCAATTCAAACCTTGATAGAAACATATAGATGCACACTTGGTAATAATTTTATACTAGGACAAAATAACAGTGTTATTTAGATTGAAGCATAATCTAAGCTAACGTTAAATTAAACAGTCGGGCGTTAGGTTAGATTATATACTTGTAGAATCACGACTTATCATCCATAAATAACTTTTTGAAATAAAGCAGAAGATTGGAAGAAGTCCTTTCGTCTAATAAAGCCTATGGTTCTTTTCAGTCTTTAATTAGTTGTTTGTAAATTTGAGACAATTCCCCTAAGTTTTTTTCATAACTGCACCTATATTTCCAGCATCTTGTGTATAGTTCAGTCAATTCAATTCTGGTCATCGACAATTATCTATACATTGAATTGGTAATCAGTAAAATACAAGAGATTGTACAAGTTCAGTGTTTTTATTACCACAATAGGTCAACAGTTGCTCATGGATAAGAATGTCGGCGAAACTATAATTTATAGACGAATCAATCAGATTTAGGGTAATACGTTTTGGATTTTTAACGCAAAATTAATTCACCAATTATGGCTAAATAGCATTTTTACATTTTAGCTTATGTCAGTTTGTGATGAAAATCCTAAATCTAATTTCTAACTCTAACCACCAACTGTAAATCATAATCTTTGTTCTTCACACATGTATATAGCCCTCATTTAGCTCTAGTAAGTTTAGTTATGAAAGATTGGATATGTATTAAAATTATATGAATGTAAAGTTGATAGTCTGAATTAAAATGAACAATGGGACAAAGAGTTACGGTTATCTGAAGGAATCAAACGGTTAACACATCAATAACATAAGTGAACTAAAATCTAAAGATAGAACAACTGGTAATCATAGTAACAAGAACTTATTGAATTCATTATTGATGATGATGATCAGTTAAGAATGTCAATATTTTACTCTTACAGAAAGTTATTCAATGTACTAATATAATCTATGAAACTATAATTTACGGATGATTCTTGAGCGACGCTAAAGTGACCTTGAGAATGTCCATCTAATAACTAGGATCAAATGAGAGTTATAAAGCAATTTGAAGAGTAAGGATTATGATTTACAGTTGATGGTTAGTGTTAAGAATAAGATTTAGAGTTTTCATCACGAACTGACATAAGCTATAATGCCAAAATTGTATATAGCCAAATGGATGAGACTTGGTATCTTATACATGATTGGTTCGTCCATAAATTATAATCTCGCCATCTTATCTAATGATAAAATCTCTTCATGTGAAACTAAGTGAGGTGTGTTTAAAATGAATAGAGAGGATCAGTCTCTTTAAGATTGGATATAAATACAGATGACAAAGCCTGGATCAAAAGATTCCATATGATTGTATGCGACAATGCAACGTAAAACAAGACGGTTTTCACTCATTTTAAAACAAAGTTATTGATTCAATGTGAATACAAAGGTTGAAAACTCATTCAATAAATCATTAATAAAGGAAATATTTGATCAACTATTCCCTTCTATATATATATCATTAGATCATATTGATTTAAATTTAACAAAAAGTTCTGATTACATGGTGTTCAAAAAATCTTTAGTATTATTATCATGATTTGTTTTCAAAGCTTCAACTTGGCATTCAGTAATAAACGTGGAACAACTTCATCGATTATTAAAAACACAACACTAATATCCATTATTTTAGGAGAGTTATACAATTTACCTACTTATAAGTAAGTAGAATACATATGCGAAATTTTATAGTTCACATCACAGGACGAAACAACTGCCCTAGTCTTCACAGGTCGTCTAATATGTATCAGTACGTGATGCAAACTATAAAATTCAACTATTTCTATGAACTTCTGGAAGTTATATATATACAAGAGTCTTCTCCATTGTCCTTCTTTTTCCCAAAAAGAGGAATAAGACAAACTGTAACTCAATTACATTATATTCATATAAATTAAATGAAAGGTTGAAGAGAAGAAGTCATGTAAATTTATTTACAAATCATGAAAATTAATAGAAAAAAGAGCGTCGGACAAATAATAATCGATATATTATTGTAACGCTTGTCATATTTTTGTGACTAGAATAATTCGAGCGGGGGGGGCTGGCAGTAATTGAATAATAATATATGTGTAGACTGTTCCAAGTCAAACTCTTATTGATCCCATCATGAGTTGTATAAGGAGATCATTGTTTTCAAATAAATGTATTCGAAGACTTTTTTATCGATTTCATGCTTCTAAAACATAATCTGTTTGATTTTATATATCTAATTATCGTTATTATCAATATGATGACATGGTGATTGAGCCAATGAAGCGGCTGAAAAGTCTGATGTTGGCAATTTATAATTTGAATGTTTTTTAGTGGGATAATGTTCATCTAACAATATCTCATCAACTTCATCGGCATCAGTTAGTACTTTTAATTCATTAATTCTGTTGGTACTAGTTGAAGATGTTATCGTTAACTGAGATTTTATATTTTGTTGTTGTTCTTCTGTATTATCAACACTAATAACCTCATCATGATCATTTTCACTGTTATTACTAACTTCTAGATTATGTTCTGAATTATTTGTTGCTATGTAATCATCATTTTCATCAGCATATGAACTAATTCCGTCCGGAAGTAAGACACCTTCTTCATCTTCATCATCCTCTCCCTCGTTATCATCGTCATCATCATCATCATCGTTATCACCGTCAAATTCACTATTATTACTTGATATATAACCTTGTCTACTGTCCTTATGTTTACTATTAACACTGGAATCAATACTTTTAACATATTGTGATTTATCCCAAAGATCATTGTTATTGATTTCAACATCAGAATTAGTTTCAGTTTTACAATATTTCCAAGAGTTTAAATGTTGTTTATGATGACGATGTTGTTGATTATTGTGGTGTGATTGACGACAATTTAAACGAGAAGAATGAGATGATTGAAGTTGACTATCATTTGATGTATGACTTAGTGAATCCATTGATAATTTTGGCCAATTAACATAATCATTTAAATGAGATCTATCACGTCTACGTCGACCTATTGAATAAATATTCTTCATTGATGATTTACACTTTGTAGTTGAATTTTTCATGTGTACAGAGTCATTGAATTCATTTGTCCATTCACTATAGGATGTAGAATTTACACTAATTGTTGAAGATGTCGTTGTAATAACTGGTAATAATGGAGGATTCAACACTGAATTAGGCAGTGGATTACGTCTACCTATTACTTTGCCTAAATAGAAATATTTAAAGAAAACGAAAACGATTTCTTTATATGCAACAGTATTAAAATTCAAAATTAAAAAAAAATTTCAGAATATTGAGCAACATATTACTAATTCTTTTGTAAGTAGTTAAAAAGCTACAGCTATCATAGCTGGATTTGAAAGGTAATGTGAGTAGAGGAAGAATTTCAATCAGTGATTTTTTTTATCCTTATATTAGGAGTCGAGCATTGGATCACTAACCTGACAGTCACTAATGAAAATTCATATCATAACTCAATTTAAGATTTCAATTTTTGGTTCATTCCACACTAACTGTCGTAGTCTTCGAATATAAATTTTTCATTTCAGTGGATTTTTTTCACTCCCGGGACAGCTGCTTTAAAAAGATTTTCAAAAAGCTTTGGACCAAAGTTTCATACTGGTAAACCCTTATTAGGAAAGGATATCTATAGTCTGTAGTCGGTGATTTCAAATAACATAATTCGGTATCACAATCAAAGATTTATTCGATCTACAATTAACCTCACTAAATAGACTCCAATATCATTCTTATTTTCAGTCCTTATTACTAATTGAATTCTATCGACAACACTCCGATTCGAAAACTGATTAAAGTGACTTGATACAGTTTTATAATTGTTGATCTATGGAATTTAATCAGTACTATTGACTAGATTAGAATAACAGTGATTGCTTACATAACATCACATACATGATACATCTCCTGATTGATAGAGTGATAAATTATGATGAAAGGAACTAGGACCTTAAATCCTAATAAAATTTGTTTTAAAATCTATTAAGCGGGAAACGAAGCAAAAGATATCTCACTGTGGAATTAGTAGCAAACGAAAAATTGTAAAAC